GGGTCCGGCCCTGGAGCATCACCCAGCCCCGGGAAGGGGCTCCACACCGCCCAGGTGGGGAAACCGAGGCAGGAGCCCAGCAGCGGCAGCAAGAGGCACTGGGGAAGGGCTCGGGCGGCTGACGGCAGCCTGCGTCACCTCCGTCCCTGGCCAGACTGGTCCAGCCGGGTTCTGCCGCCGCGTCCTGGCTCTCCCGCTTCCCACCAGCCCCAGGCGAAGCCTCCGTCACCCAGCGCCCGAGTCACCAATGAGCGCCCGGTGCCAGGGCACATCCCAGCCCATGGTGGGGATCCCTGGGCCTCCTGCTCCCCAGATTTGGGGATGGGGGCGAGGGTACACATCCTGCACCCCCCCGCCATCAGCCCCTGCACAGTCCTCTGCCACATCTGGCTGCAGGCGCTGACTCAGTTGGGAAACCACAGCTCTGGAGGGAGGTGAGAGACGAAGCTTCAACCACCCCTGCAAGAAAACAGGATTTCATTGCTGTGCACAGAGCCGGGGATCCAAAGCACAGCGAGAGTCCTCCCAGCACGAGGAGGAAAGGGGCACACGGCACAGCATGGCATGGCACGGCACGGCACAGCACGGCGGGGCACAGCACAGCTGAGATGACGGCCAGAAAACTCATTTATGTTCCTTCTTGGTCAAGGTCAGGGGAGTCAGCGAAGCGCAGTGCTGCCTTCATGGTGTTAACCCACGGAGTCCTGCAGGCTTACCCCCCTGCATCCCACCTCCATATCCCTTCTCATGCCCCTGCATCCCACCTCTGGCACCTCCCCGCAGCCCAGCTCTGCCAGCCCCGCACGCCACGGGGAACGGTGGCCATGCTTGCAGCCCTGGCCACTGCTGGGGGTCACACCACTGGTCGCAGAGCTGCTACTCCTGCTCGGCGCTGCCGGGAGTGCCAGACCCAGCCGGCACCTTTGCACCCAGCAGCTGTGGCGGGAGCAGCAAGGGGATCCCGGGGACCCTGGCCCGGGGCTGCAAGGTGCTTCGCCCAGCACTGGCAGAGGAGTGGGAGCAAGGAACCGTGTGCCCCAACGTGAGTTTGAGGCTGACAAGGGGACACCATGCCCAGGTGCGCATCGGAGCAGGGCGGAGGCCCCGTGCCACCCTCACCCGGCTTGTTGGGAAGATAAACAAGCCTTTGCCCCCCGGGCCGCGACGCCAGCACGCTGGGCTGAGCTCTTCCCGCTGATCCGGGCGTGAGTGCCGCTGGCCACACCTCGCCGGGCTGGCGCTCCCCTCCCGAGGGTGGCCGTGACCCATCAGTGACGAACCCCACTTTTCCCGAGGGACAGGACAGCCCTGCCCTGTGCAGGGGTGAAATGGGCTGCTCCCGTCACCAGCGCTGCCTCCCTTTAGCTCTGCCCCAAGCCCTGAGCCCTGCCCGTGGGTCTGGGGGCTCAGCCCTGTCCCCCGTCCCGGTGCCCAGCCCCACGCAGGGAGGGCAGAGCTGGGAAAGCCCTGGTAAATGGGAGCTCCAGGGCAGGGCAGGGTGGGGTGCTGGCAGCCTCCCCACCGCCCCCTTCCTTCCCTTCCCTCGCCCGGGGCGAACGCGGTGATTCAGCCTCTTGGTTTCAGTCCTCGCAGCCAACTTCCACGGGGAGCAGGAACGCGCCCGGCGCAGCAGGGAGGAGCGAGGCGGCCGCACGCTGCCTGACGCCCCGTGCCCAGGGCAGGCGCAGGCTTGTCAGCAGCAACGGCGGCCTCCTGACCTCCAAAACACCCTGACGTCGGCGGGAGGGGGGGTCGTCCCATGCTGCTGCCCTGGACCAAGATCGGGGGATGCAGGCTGCACCCTCTGGACCAGCAGTAGGAGGATGCGCTCCCCCCCAAAACAACCAGCAGGTAATGCACATCACACCTCAAACACCCATGTCGGGGTGAGGCATGCTGCCCTCCAGCCCCCCCATGCCACCTGGCAGCCTCCCCTGCACAACGGCAGGCCACACATCCCCGTAAGGGTCCCAGTGTGGTCGTGGCCCCCTCAGGGACACCCCAGCCCCACAAGCCCCCCCCAGCCCCCCTGTGGGATCTCCCTCACTTTATGGGAGCATCCAGCCCCCCAACCATCCCTCCCCTCCCATAGCAGGGCGTCTCCCACCCTGAGCACCCAGCTCCCAGCACACCCCAGCCCCAGGGAGCCCTGAGGCAGAGGCAGCCATGAAAAGACTGGTCTAGATTTTATTAAAAGTTCAGCACCAGTAAAAAAAAAAGCAACTGTGCAAGTTGGGAAGTATTAAATTAACGGAGTTTAAGGCTACAGAGGGCTGGTGTGGCAAAAATTCGACACACGCAGGGCACAGGCAACGCAGCCTTGCCAGGCTGCAGCCAGGCGGCGGCACGGGAAGTCCCCTCGTAGCACCAGGCTGTGGGCTCCAAAGAGACCCTGGGTTCTGGGGGCTGGGGGTGGGCTGGGAGGCTGGAGGCACCAGGGTAGGAGCCCAGGGGAGCTCCGAGGGAGGGGCAGGACCGGCACGCATGCCTGGCTCCGGCAGCACCATGCATCGCTCCCAGAGCAGGGACAGCTGCCCGAACCCCTCGAGACAACACGGGGGTCGGTCCTGGCGTACCATCTGCAACTCCTGGGGAGGAGCCAAGGGACACAGTAAACCCCAGTGCTGCCAGGCACTGCCGCTGGCCAGGGCTCCTGGGGACATCGGGGACAGGGGTAGCCTGGGGTGAGCTCCCGAACAGGCAGCGAGGTTTGGCCGTGCCGGTGCTCCGACAGGAATCAGGCTGCGCTCAGGGCAGTGGATGTCCAGATGGCAAAGGCAGTCCTGCTGCAGGGCACCGGGCAGGATCAGGTCTTCCCCATGAGCCCAAGTTTCTGCGCAGTGGCTGGCAGAAGCCTGAAGCCCGGCGTCCCCAGGATGGTGTTGCAGGGCCACCACTGTCCAGCTCCGCCGGGGCCAGGCCCCCCTTCACCTGGCTCATCGCAGGGTCTCTGTAAACAAGGAGGGCTCGATGGCACCAGGGCGCTGGCAAGCAGCCGCCCCCCACCCCGCGGCACAGCCCCCAGCCCCGGCATCAGGAACCTTGGTCGGCTTTGTCCCCCTTGGTCTTGGGCTCCTGCCACCACTCTGCGAAGAAGCCCTCCTCGTAGTCGCCTTCGCCCTCAAACTCGCCGTCAGAGGGCAGGTCCCGTGCCTCCAGCCCCTCGCCGCCGTCCACCTCCATCTGCAGCATGGGACGGGCAGGAGGAGGCAGCAGGGCTCAGTGGCCCTGTCCACAGCTCGTCCCTGAGCTATGACCTCTTCTCCAGGGCTGGTTTGGGGGTTGGAACCCCTGCCCGAGGAAGGGCCCTGCCCCAGGGTATCCACAGCACCCATCTGCACCACCCCAGCATCCCCAAAAGCACCTGGTTGCACCCCGTGCCGGGGCCATCGTTTACCTCATCGTCAGCCTGCAGGTACTGCCTGGCGAAGTCCAGCATCTTCTTCTGGGCAGCTGTCCGGTTGTGGTAGCGCACGGCTTCCTGAGCACAGGGAGGGAGCGGGGGCCGTGTCAGCCCCTCTGTCACTGGCAGAGCCACGGGACGGGGAGGCTGGGGGGTCCTCACCGGCCGGGGCTCAAAGTCCTCCTCCTGCAGGCGCCAGCGCTCACGGTGGAAGCGGTAGTAGACCAGGTTCTGCTGCATCACGGCGTCACCCGGGTCGAAGAGCATGTAGCTGGAGACGCTGCGTACCGCATCCCGCACGTCGTTCACTGCGGGGAGCAGCACTGGTTGATGTGGGGGGGCGACACCCCGCCCAGTGGCCCGCGGCCTCCCCCTGCGTCGCGGCGTGCCCCGGGGGCACAGCCCCCCACTCCTGCCGGCACTCACGCTTGTAGTAGGCAAACTGCAGGTAGTGGTACATGGTGGCCACGAACTTCTCCACGAAGTAGCCGCCCACATTGGGGGTGAGCTCAGTCTCGCAGTCCACCTTGCACTGCAGCACGCTCACAAAGTGGTCTGGGGGGAGACATCAGGTGCTGCGCCCCATCGGCCCCTGGCCCCCCGCCATGAGCCTGCCGGCCCCCGGCCCCCCACCCGGTCACCTGCGATGGCAGGGTAGAAGTCCTTGAACTCCTGCAGTTCATAGGCACCCTCACAGCCGGCCAGGCAGTCCTCGTACGCCTTGTAATACTCAGCCAGCGCCTGCTCCATGTCGGCCGCGCTGCTCCGGAAATCCCCGTTGTTGTACAGCTTCACCGACCGCACGAATATCGGCTGCCGGGGACCAAGCAGGCACCGCTCACCTCTCCGCCGGGCACTGCAGCCCAGCTCTGCCCGCCAGCAGCACCGACCTGCCCTGCTCTCCCTGAGGCAGCTCCGTCCCCAGCACGTGCCCCACAGAGATGCTCTTTTGGGGGCAGGAGGTGAGCAACCAGGGCTCAGTGAGGGAGAGCCGCTTCCCTCAGGGTTCGGCAGAACGAGGCTTTGGCAGCCAGGCGTGCACTGAGCCCCGGGGAGCCCCTCTCCCGCCCCAGCCCTGTCCCCTCCTCACCTCATAGGGCTGAGCCTCCAGGTCGACCAGGTATTCATCCACGTCCAGCATCGTCCTGTAATAGTTCAGGTACTTCAAGGTCATCTCGTGCTTGGGGTTCTTCTGCAGGAAGGTGTGGGCAGCGGACACCGCTTTCTCGATCTTATTTGACTGGGGAGGGAGGAAGAGCCGGTGCAGCAGGCTGCCGTGGGGGCAGCCGGGGCTGACGCTGTGGCTGCAAGGGGCTCAGCCAGACCCCGGGGCTGCAGGGCAAAAGGCTGGTCCTTGGGAGGGGACAGCCCGGCACCCGCGGTGCCAGCCCCGAGCCAAATCATCCACTGACAGCAACAGACGGACAAGATCCGGGACCACGGACAACGCAGATAAATCCAGCTGATGCACGGCAGCCGCCTGTGCCCAGCCGCACCAACCTCTCCCTCCGTGCCCATGGTGGGAGCAGGGACAGCTCAGCCCCTCACGGACCCCCATGTCCAGCCAGGAGTGATCCATGTGGCACGAGCTTGATCCACACATCTGCTCTCCTCGGGCACTGCCATCAGCCCGGGCGCGCCGCCCCTGCTCCCCTGCTGCTTTATGAGCTCTCAGGTTGCAACTTCAGGGGAGCGAGATTGGGGGGGATGAACGAACTGTCCATGAAATGGGTTTTGGCCAGAGCAAACAAGAGGAAAAGGCATTAAGGATCTAGGCCAGGCTGTGCCTCACCACTGCCAGGTGAGCGGGGCAGCAGCCCTAAGCACTAAAGCAGCATCCGCACCGGCAGCCGGCCAGCGGTGCAGCTCGGGACCCCAACCAGCACCGGGGCCTGGGGAGGGGAGCGTCCCCTGCCAGAGCAGCTCTGGCCAAAGGAGGGTCACCCCGGGGCGATCCCTTACAAAACCTCCCTCCACGTCTGCACCACGGGCCCAAGCAAGCGCTTCTCCCTGACAGAGCATCCAGACACGTGTCCTGCAGCAATCACGGTGGCACTGGACCCACCAGCTTGGGCTCCTCGGCCAGGGCAGCCCCCGCGTCCCCCTCCCCAGCCAATGCTCTGCCCAGCCAGGGGGAACTTGGGGGACCAGGGCAACACAAGGTGGGGTGGGGTGGGGGGACACAACCACAGGGGCCCCCAGTCCCAGGCGCATCCCTCACGTCCTGCCTGATGCATCCCAGATGATGCTGACGTGCTGGAGGAGCCGGGGGGGGGGAGATGCCAGATGGGGAGTGCAGGAAGGGGGGTGCAGGAAAGCACATGACAGCAGGGCAGGG